AATTTTTTAAATGGTTATTTCAATACGGTCGTTCCAATTTGCTCGTTGAAATATAGTTGTTAAATTTAATTTAAACTGAAATTTCTAAATAAATAAAATATGATAATTGTGTAAAATATAAACAATGTTGTTGGAGTGTGAGATTAAAAGTGGTGGTGTATAATAACACCGTTCGTCTCTTAAATTATAGATATAGACAACCAGTTTTTGAACCACTGTTGGAGATGACCTTACACGTTGTCCAATCTTCTAATGAGTCAAAAATACCTTAAGGGGGTCCCATTCTTTTAATTTCTTCACGGGGTGAGTGAAATCGCTTAAGTGATAACATATCGAATTATTGGGGAAATAACTTAATGAATTATCGCGGGGAACAGATGTGGGGGATGGGTATTTTTGTCTCCGAATTAAATCATGACACATGTAAGGGGGGTTAAAACGGGTACATGCTAAGAAATTAATATCCCACGTAATCTAAAAATTCCGCTCAATTTGACATTGTAAGGGGTTCGTGTTAGATGGCTATAAATTAAGGTACATATGTAATTAATAAAAAAAAGAGGAGGGATTTTCGTAATTCGGTCATAGCTCAGAGGGGATCGTTGTGATTTACACTAGTATATTGAACTTTTCTTTTTGGGGGTGGGGGTTATTTCTTTATCTTGGTTCTGATCTTATATATACGTTAATATCAAACTACAGTCAAACATCTATAAATTAATACAGTTCGGATCAGAGAAATTCTATTAATTTAGTGAATTATTAAATTATCGAGTTAATAATTTAACACATTTTTACCAAGTCGGGACCGAGAGAAACTATTATTTAATCGATGTTATTAATTTATCGAATATTAATTTAACGAGGTTCTCATGTATTTTGTACTCCGAAATAACTATTGAAGATATCCAGTATAAATTAAGTCCAACTCCGTACATTTGACACGTGTGAAATGTTTTCCTGGAAGTTTTCTTTAAATTATTGTTTGGGAATTCTCACCCATTTTCTAAATAGTCGTGGGCCCTAGTAGTTAATAACTGGGTTTACGGTTAAAGCTATACATACAAAAAATACAAACAGTTTATGGTTACTTTTATATATATATAGCGTATATAATTGCAATTTCATGCCCGACGATTCTCACATTTCAAATCGATAATTCATAATTTAAGATCAAGAAGATGGATAACGTAGAAAGAGAGAAAGCAAAGGTTCAAAAATTGATGGAGGACATCGAGGATGTCATTCATAGCGTGGATATGCAGAGAACGTTTTTCAAAAAAGTTGATTACAGATGCGACAGAAGAAATAAAACGAAAGAAAGCATCAAGAAACTGATGAAAATGTTTTCTCACGATCGACAAACCCTAAGACAGGCCTGGAAAAAAGAATCAACCGTGATACTATCTGGAACGTATATGAAATTCCTATATTCAGATGTCATCTAAAACGACTGCAGTATTGGAGCGGACATGAAGCAATAGACTGGGATATGCGTAGGCTCCGACAAGCCTTAATCTCCCCAAATCTCCCCATGGCTGGGGGGGGAGGAGAGGGAGCGGCGGTGTTGAGGTTGTGATCAGTTCTCCGATGTGTGTGTGTGTGTGTTGTGCGAGCGGCGGTGTTGAGGTTGTGTTCAATTCTCCCGTGTGTGTGTGTTGTGCGAGCGGCGGTGTTAAGGTTGTGTTCGGTTCTTCGGTGGGTGTGTGTGTGTGTTGTGCGTGTTCTTGGGGGTTCATTTGTTGTTCTATGCGTGTTCTTGGGGGTTCGTTTCAGTTTCCTAGGTTAGGTTCCGGTTATTTTTCCTTTTGTGTTTGTATCGGGTTTGATATTATCTTCGACATGGTAACGAACAAAGCTGCACCAGCCGAAAGAACCAAAGCAACGGCAGACTACTACGAAACTCGGTCTATTTTACCGTATCGAGTATTTTAATTCATGAGTTGAACTTTGTAATTTTGCTTGCTTTACAACTGTTAAGTTTTTTCTTTACATCGAGAATTTGACCCGTTTTCCATCGGGATATATTGTAGTGTACATATAGTAGCTGCCTTAACTATTTGAAATTTTGAGTTCAACGTGCTATTTTGCTTTACGACTACTAGTTTTTTCGCTTTTATGTATTAGTAACTATCTATTTTACCTATGTAGACACGGCCATGGGCCGGTTTTGGGCCCGGAACCGGCCCGTTGACGAACCGGCCCGGAACTCGTGAACCGGTCCGTTGTCCCCGGGAAGGGCCCGGTTCTATGAATTGGTGAACCGTGAACCGCCGGGCCGGCCCGGCGGTTCACCCGGATTTAAAAAAAAAAAAAATCAAAAAAAAAGCAAAAAACAGCCGGTGAACCGACCGTTATTTGCTATTTTTAAAAACTCCGTACATTTGACACGTGTGAAATGTTTTCCGGAAAGTTTTCTTTAAATTATTTTTTGGGAATTTTCACCCTTTTTTTAAATAGTTGTGGGCCCTAATAGTTAATAACTGGGTTTTACGGTTAGAGCTATACATCCAAAAAATACAAACAATTTATGGTTCCTTAAAAAAAACAAAATCAAAAAAAAAACCAAAAAAAACAAAAAACTCCCGGGGAACCGCCCGTTTTTTGATATTTTTTGAACCCCCCCCCCCCCCCCCCTCTTTTTCTATAAATACCCTCACACCCCATTTATTCCTATAAAATTAAGTTAAAGTCATTTTATTTATTTCCTTTTGTTTTTTTCCTATTTAAAAGTAATTATTTTAATTTATTTATCCATTAAGTATTTTTTTTAAAATATATATATAAATATAAATTTCCGGCCCGACCCTGAACCGGTCCGGATAGGCCCGGAACCGGATTGAACCGGGGGGCCGACCCGGCCCGCCGAACCGTGCATATTACGGGCCGGTTCCGGTTCCGGAAAAAGTGAACCGTGAACCGGTATGAACCGGCCCGAAACCGCCCCAAACCGGTCCATAGCCGTGTCTAGATCTTATGTATGTACGTACGTGTGTGTGTGTCTTGCAAATTTAAGGAGAAATACTACCCCTGTAATTCACTATGCACCATCTATGAAATACACACGATGATTAACGGGTTAAAAGAAAATTCAAAAGAAAAAAAAAAAAAAAAAATGAAAAAATTACCTGACAATTAACAATGACATACTACTAAATGTTTGTGTGTAAAATAAATAAATTAAATCAAAAAAATTAATAAATAAAATATACCCTAAATATATAATACTAATAAATTAAATTATAAATTTTGACAATGACATATATACCCCACCACCATGCAAGACTACTTGTACCTCGCTCTGCTTATTTGCCAGCGGCTGACGCAGCACATCCTCGCAAAGCCGACGCCGTCAAGCCGGCCGACGATGCTCAGCTGCAAATCCTCCGGCATCGACGTGAAGATGTCGAAACGCGGCAGTCTTTATAGGTTGATTTGGTAATATTCGTCGTCCGACAAATAATCGACGTCGTAGAGGAGATCAGCTGCTTTTTCGAGGCGTCGAGGCTCAGGATGGTTATATTCGTTTTCGGTCCTAGGGTTTCATCGTGAACCAGTACTTGGCGTGGGTCAGGGCTTCGACGACGGCGTTCCCATTTAGCTGTGGCTGGGTGTAGAGGTCCGTCTTTGGGTCGCAGTCCCTTGATATGACGAGGAGCTTGATGTTTGCGTCGTTATATCCCACGGCCGCCGTCGCCGCCATGCCACCCATGTCATTTATATATATATATATATATATATATACACTAGTGAAAGAAATATCATGTTTTAATTCAAGTATAATAGTAGTTTGTTAGCATTTAATAAATATTTAATAATGTTAATAATTGTTTAATAATTCTTAATAATGTTTAAATTGTGTAATTAATATTAATTATTCTTTAAAACATTACTAAATGTTTAATAATTATTTAAATATTGATAAAATATTAATAGTTGTCAATAATTGTTTAATTTTTTTTAATAAAATAGAACAAAAATTAATTTAGAAATAAATTTGCTTCTAAAGTAGAAGCGGACGCAACAAAAACTGCGCCTGCGTTCGACGCGAGTGCAGTGCATCGCGCGACCAACATGGACTCGATGTTTGATTTGTTCGCTTTTAGGTTGTCCGCTCTTCTGTACCGATTCCGTTCCGACCATGGCTGCCGTAAACTTGAAGAATTTTCAGTAAAAAAATTAAAATATTACCAACGGTTGAAGAGTATCATCGTTAGAAGGTATTGAAGTGATTATTTTATGATATTTGAAACCGTAGAGATTTTTTTTTAATTTACGTGGGAGATATTTAGTAATTATTAATGCGGAATTTAGCATCCCATAAAGTAAGAGCAACCCCAATGGGGTTACCAAACATGGTATTCAAACTATTAACCAGTATTTACACACTAAAAAATAGGAATTTTTAACTCCAATTAAGTAATTAGGACTCTTTCAAATAACTAAATTCCTAATTAATTCTACGTGAATAATATATTATTTTATAGGGAAAATATGAGATACACCCCTAGTTTTATAAATATATAGGGATAGGTCCTATGAGTATTTCTCTTCTAGTCAAAAACCCAAATTTTAATTTTAATTTGGCAGACCCCCGGACAATATGAAGTACCAATTATACCCCTTTCCGTATAAAATAAGCGTCAATTCGACTCACCCACGTCTTCAACCCACAACCAGCCCCCGTCTGCTCTTTCTCTCTCTAGAGTTTTCTCACGATGCTCTCTTCTTCCCATTATTTCCCTTTCTATAGATCTTTCACACTCAGCCTATCTTCGCCGTCCGCCATCTCGAAGTTGCCGCCGCGAGATCCGAGGCCAAAGTAGAGGAAGCGGAAGCCATACAAACCCTAAATATCGTTCTGACATATCTCCGCCGCCGCTTCGCCGTTCTGGATTTCCGCCACTCGAAATGTTCCGTTCCGCCACCGTGCTCATCTCCAGCCACCCGGTCCTCTGGCGATGTGATCCAGCGATTCCTTCGCTCATTTTACATGGCGGCATCCTTTCCTCCGATTTACCCTCCAAGCGCCGCTCCTCCTCCGTCAAGCGCCGCTCTATTTCCACCGCCAACTGCCCGCCACCCCTAGATGAGAAGGTAAAGTCAGGGAAGGGGAAACCGCCGCCGCCGCCGCTAATATTAGATCATAGCCAAGAACACCACTTTCCTCTCGGAGCAAAAATTACGGATCTAGGGTTTGAGTTTGAGAATAAAAGTGTGTAATGGACGAAAGAGAAATCGAAATTCATGCCTTCAATGCTGAAAACGGGTTGGTAGCATCACGGTTTGAGATTATGAGGAGGTAGTTGCCATTACTTTTGATATGGTTGAATTTTGGTGGTGATTTAACATAATATTGGAAATTGTGATGTTAATTGTGAACTAAATAGTTGTTTTGTATTATTTATTTTTCTATTTAATTTGTTTTGCAGTACATGAAGCAGCTCAATGATTTTCTCGATTCTCCTTTGCAGTAAGTACATAATCTATGTGTGCACATATTAAATTATAAAATCACATCTTAGTAGACGAATTTGCCAAATCAAACTGCATTTAGGCATTCTGCATTTATAGTGCACTTTCTCTTTTGTGAATTGTCGAATTAGAGCTCTGTTCATGTGCTGATTAACTAGATTCATTTGATGTAGCAGAGACTTTTGTGTATGTCGATGAAAGAAAGAAGGGATAAATAGCTTGCTCGACAACATGTTGAGGCAGTAGATTATGTGTGCATCATGCTACATTAATCTAGACTATGTTACCGTATAGTCTACATTAATCTAGACTATATGTTACCGTATAAAACTATATATGACTATAGATAACTGTAGCCATATGTAGTAACTAGAACTTGTATTCTACTATAGTCATTTGTAGTCGACTTCATTAAGTTAATTTATCAAAAAAAAAAAAAATCGCATGTTTAGAGATTGTTGATTTAAATAGTGGTAATTTGCTATTTTACTGAGATGAAAGATGTTCCTTTTGGTAGAATATATATACCAGTTTTTTTTCTTTTTTTTTTAAATCAAATTATTTTGAAATTCATCTTAGCAAAACAATATATAAAATAAAAGTAAATAAATAAATTAAAAATTTAAACTCACTTGAACGTTTTTTGCAGGGACGTACGGAGTGTCCCCAAGTGGAACCTTGTGTGCCACGTGGAAGGATTCAGATCTGGTTCTAGATGCTCCGAGAGGCTTAGTAGGTGAAATCCGGGTAGCCCATTCACATTTCTTTCATCATTTTTTTTCTTGAGAGAGAAAATGGAGGAAGAGCCTTCAAATTGAGATTTTAGAGAGAGACAGGGGAAAGAAGTGGAACCAGGGTTCGTTAATTTTCGTTAATTCAAAACAGCTTTTTTGCGACCGATAGATCGGAGTTGTTGTCGTGTTGAAAATTGGAATTTGAAGCTAGAAATACAAACTACACTACATATGACTATACTCGTATAGTCACGTGTAGTCATATACACGTAGTCATATATAGTCACATATGGTCATATACATGTAGTCATATATAGTCACGTGTGGTCATATACATATAGTCATATGTAGTCACGTGTAGTTATATACACGTAGTCATATATAGTCACATATGGTCATATACATGTAGTCATATATAGTCACATGTGGTCATATACATATAGTCATATATAGTCACATGTGGTAACATGTAGCGGTATATAGTTATATATAAATTAAGTGTTTTTTTCTGATGTATAGTGATGTTGATGATTGTGTTTTTCCAATTTTTTGTTCGGTACTAATTGATGATGATGAGTTGTTCTTTGTTGAAGAACATAGGCATGTGATAGTGTATTTCGATCTATATTTGTACAAGTTGATTTATAATATCAAGATTTAAATTGAGATTTTTGTGGAAGGTGTCGACTATATATAACAGGTATAGTGCAGGACAATATATAATTTTGGAATAAAAAAAAGGTACATGATTATATATAACTATACGTGACTATAGACATGTACTGGAGTATAGTCAAGTCATCTGTAGTTTCTGTACACGAAACTTATTGAAAATTTATTTTTTAAAAATTAAAAAAATTAAAAAAAAGTTAATAAAATTAAGAAACTTAAAAAAACAAAAAAAATTAAAAAAATTAAAAAATTAAAAAAAAAAATTAAAAAATAAAAAATAATAATTAAAATCATTTAAAAATAATAAAATAAAAATTTATAATTTTTTATTAAAAATTCTGAAAAAATGATAAATGCAGGTCTAAAAATGTGGAGTGCAGTTGTCTATAATGCTGAATGCAGTTGGAAAATGCTGAATGCAGTTTGTTAAAATTTACAAATAAGGGCACAATAGTACTTTTGGCTCTCCAGGGGTGTATCTCAAAGAAAGAATTTTAGGGGTGGACTTATCCTTATATATTTTCCATTCTAGGGGTGTATATCAAATGGCCCCTTTTTTATATTAATGTGATTTAGTTGCTATAGAACTTTCAGTATATATAGTCTTCCAAAATTTCGTTGCTATGTATGTGGATATCAAGCGGCTATTTTTTTTTTTTCTTTTTTTCTGATTATTCTATTTTAATTATTCAGTTTATAATTTGGAATATGGCTTGATTGTATAGGGTAATTGAAGGAAGAATGGATGCAAAGACAGCGGGTTACGAATATCATTTTAGTTTCTGGACTGACGAAGATATACTATCAGTGTACAATAATTACCGACTGGTCCCCAGATCAAAAACTTATGTGATCGATTCAAATCTAATTTTATGGTGAAAACAAAAGACGGCGAAAATCAGATTATCGAGTCGGAGATATTCACAACTGACCAATGCTCCAAAGATTGCACGATTATTTTGTTGGAACCGCTTTTGTCTTACGGATTCGAGGAGTATTGGATAACCCAACAGGAAGTAGACGCGTTGGAGCACAAACTTGAAGATTTTGCGGCCGCCGATCCAAAATACGCCAATCGTAGAGTGATCCCTATAGTCGTTAAAATCAATGTATGCACTGTTCAGAAAGATGACGAGACGATTGGTGAGGCCCACGGCAGGGCGATCAGAGCGGCAAACTTGGTCCCCCAAGTGCGTACGACATGAATAGAAAATCGTACGATCATGAGGTTGTGTGGTTCTTGGATGAGTTGAAAAGGTATAGAGTTTTAGATGTTAAAGAAGCCGAGGTTTGCGATATATGTTGGATGGATCCTATGCTTGGTGCTCAGATGTCTGTTATGCCTTGCTGCAGCCACGCTTTTCATTCCAATTGCATTTTTCGATGGGTTTTGGACAAAAATACGTGTCCTTATTCCAATTCTATTCCCGAGGCACAAGATTTGAACTAAATTCTTTTCCCCTAGTTTATTTATTTAGGATTTGAGTTACTTGCAAATTATTTATTATTTGTGTCAGATTCAGTTTATATTAACATTTAGTTACTGCTTTGTTATTCAATCGTTAGACTTTTCTTTATAATATTCTCCATTTTCTTTATTTAATTATTATAGATATACATCTCCCCTCGTCATGTTTTCTTCTTAAACTTGTATGACCTATCTATACTATTTTTTTAATTGTTTCATTGTACTCGTATACAGTCGGTTTTACTTAATGGTGTTCGACATTTAATACGAAAAATATATAAATTATGAGAAGATATAAAAAACTACATTTTTATACACAAATATAATCTTTCATGAGAATGGAAGACAATATTTTAGTAACGGAGGTGAAGATCAGGATGCAAACGATACCGTTGAGGTCTATACGTTTGACCAATGGTTGAGATTAATCGAGGTCCGGGTTGATGTTGATCGAACGGCTCAAAATTATGGGTTTCCATAATTTCACTTCTGGTTCTAGACCAATACTTGATTATGGCCGAAGCTCATATCCACGTCTCGGCCCATATAAACACATTAGAACTGAATCTGTCAATCGGGCCGGGCCCATGCCCAATTAAATAGTGAAAATTTTCTAGTGACATATGTTCTGCATGCAATTAATGGAAATATTGAAATGACTAGATAAGAGTTTGCTAATACAAATCTCATATTTATGTTGGTTGAGATGCTCATCACCTAAACAAGATACTTCACCAATTTTTTAATTGCAAGTTTCATTAAATAACACAATTGATAACTACATATAATTATTAATTATAATATCGTACAAGAAAAGAGGAACTTGCAATAATGACCTCGAACGTAAAATACTACATATTTATATTTAACTACATGATCGTTGTCAATATTTTTACGTCGAGTTCGGCGCACATAACTTGTTCGAAACGGTTTATGTATACAGCTACGAGTTCATTTATTAAAAAATAAAATTAGATCAATTACCAGGTGATGAGAACCAATACTAGTACTCCCATTGACGAAGCTAAACGGAGAGAAACTCAACCAGACAATCACCGACAGAGACGAAAACATGATTAAACGAACTTCTTACAAGAATATATCGGTACAAGAAAACTAACCCTATAAATGAAAAAAAAAACACAAGAAAATGGAGATATTATTTACACCTTCTTCCACCCCTCTTTATCCTCTTTTCCAACACTAAACAATATACAGAATCAAAATTAAAAAAAAAAAGGAAAAAAACCCTAACAGAGGCTCCAGCTAGAAACACACTCAGCCAACAAAAGCTTATCAATCGACACTCTCTCTCCAAACCTGTAAGAAAATCTAAGCGCCCCCTGAGAATTAACGCAACCCTTCTGCACAGGCAAAGTCAAAACGGCGGCGTTTGTTCCAGCTCCACCATTTTTGGCGTACTCGAAAAGCTCCTTCATGGGCGTGTGGATTTCTCCGACGTATCTATCTCCCATCTTCCTCTTGCAGTACAGTTTCACGACCAGCATCGAGTTGTAGTTCTCCAACATCGTCTCGCTTATCGTGTACCTCATCGTGAAATTCCAAGCCGGGTTCACCTCGCCGTGCTTGTCCGTCGGAGTTCTCTTCTCAGTCTCCGGCGAGCTCCCTCCGATGGAGACCCTCGCGTGTACTTTCATCTTGCAGAGCATGCGCACGTTTTCAAGGTTGTTTGCTGATATCAGTGTTATTTCAAACTTCCTGCACTCCATAGGTGTTTGTGAAAATGTCTCAATGAGGTGTGTGGATCAGTACGAGTTAATTATATATGTAGGAAGCAATAAAATAAGATGACTAGTTGCATGTCGAAAAGAAGGAACGGAGAAGGAGTGGAATTTATTACAGCATCCATTGGTTGTATTGTAATTTACTTAATTAGTTGATTGATCAGTCCAATAATAAATCTATTTAAATTAGTTATCTTAATTAATCTTATCTTGACAACTAATTAAACTGGTATTCGTAGTACATATTTCGGATATATATATAATATGAGCTTCTGTTTCGTACCCTAGGTAATTAATTATGGATTATTGTTCCGTAATTATTAGTTTTATGATGGAATTGTATATCTAGACTTCCTATGACTCGATTATATACTATACACCAGTCGTAAAATTGCGTGAGAGATTTGACCATTAATATACATAGTTAATTAGGGTCTTTCTAGGGTGTGATCCTGTGTTCTAAACTTTTATGAGATACCCCTTTAAATTACGACACGTGTCCCACCAAAAAAACCTATTTTTTCTCCATTTATGTATTGTCGCAAATACCCGTTTTACAATTATTATTTTAAAAAATCAGCAATTATAAATTATTAATGAAATGTCAATTTTACCCTCTCTATTTTAATGCAATTTTAAATATATATTTATTGCTGAATTGAAATTTATAACGTAAATTATATCATTATTCGTAAAAATCATTAAACCACTCATCCAAAATTGCATCAACCTGAATTCGAACTTGTGACCATCTGAAAACATACAAGAATACTTACCATTAAGACACAACACATAATTGACAATAAACTAACAATAAGGATATATATCACAAAGCTACAATTTATAATGGTTATAAAACTTATATAAATAATGTTAAATAAATTATTAATTCTCATATAATTATTATTATTATATATTAAAAATATCCCATACTAACAAATCTTTATATAATATAATTTAAAAATCTAAGGAAATGTTGTTCAACTCGTGTAATTTAAAAATGAATTTCGAAAGAATTTGAAGTTTGAATTGAATCGTAAATTGTAAGATTTAATTAAATCGTAATATTTGAATCAATTAAACTCATGTGTTTTCAATTCAAAAACAACATTCAAAGATTTGATCGATTAACCTCAACTCATTTCAATTCGTAGACAATATTCAAATATTTGAATCGGTTAAACTCAATAATTTACAATAGCGTATTAATCAATATGTGTATAGTTAAAGTTTAGTAACCTTTTTTATTGAATTTTATCATAAAAAATAATAAAATTTAATTCATAAAAATTGTAAGATTTAATCGGTTCATGGTTAGATTAAATCTTACGATTTACGATCTAGTTCTTACGATTTTACGAATTAAATTATTATTTTGTTGTTAAAATTGAATTAAAAGGATAGTAGAGTTTAATTATAAATAGTTAACTCGATTAATACGTCTTTGTAGTGGTTGAACTTAATCGATTCAAATTTTTGAATAATATTTACAAATTAAAAGGATTTGCGCTTAATTGATTCAAATCATACGCTTTAATTTATAATCTTATGATTTGATTCTTGCGTAATGTAGGAATTATTTTTTTATGATAAAATTGAATTAAACATGTATCACACTTTAATTAATAATAGTTAATTTGATTAAGACGTTCTTGTCAATAGTTGAGCGCGCTAATGAATCGATTCAAATATTTGAATAATGTTTACGAATTGAAAGGACTTGAGCTTAATTGGTTCAAATATTACGCTTTGATAAAATATTATGATTTACAATTAGGTTCTTAAATGTGTTAGGAATTAAATTTATTATTCTTTATGACAAAATTGAATTAAAAAGATATTAGACATTACTTATAAATAGTTAAATCAATTATGTAACATGTTATGTCAATAGTTAAGCAACCAATTCAAATATTTGAATAATGTTTACTAATTGAAGGATTTGTACTTCATCGATTCAAATCTTACTAATTGATTAAATTAAATATTAAAAGAAAATTCACAATATAGTATTTGTAGTATATAATTTTATTTTAAACTAAGAAAACTACTAATTGGAATGCGTTATAATTTTTTCTTCTTCTAAATAAATATATTATTTTATTTTTTATTTGGATTTGTCACACTATCGATTAAATAACATAAATGAGTTTGAATTAAGTTATGCATTTTTTTTATATTTAATTGAGCATTCTTTACATTTTTAAATGGTGGAGTTTATTAATACTTCTAATATTATATAATTAATGATAGATGTTTGGCCTATTGAACTTCAATTCTTTATAATTTTCAAATTTTATTTTATTAAATTTGTTAATAATTTATTTAATACCATTTAAAAATAATGAATGTTGCAATTAATATTTTAATTAACAGTATTTATACAATTATGGTTAAATATACCATAATAAGTTAATGTGCTTGGATGGTTAGGAGTGATAAATATATTAATAGGTCACGAGTTCTATTCTTAATGAATGCATTTTTTTCGATTATTTATCAAATAAAACTCGGTCACAATGAATTTAAATTAATTATTTAAATAAAATATAGTAGGGGGTAAATTAGACAATTCAATGTTAATCAATTTTATATTAATTTAATAAAAAAATAATCGAAGGATAATTTGGTAAAGTACTTCATTTTTTAGAACATAAACCATGTTATTTTCCTAGGGTCCAGATTTAATCTTAGAAAATTAATGGTAATTAATGCATATCTCAAATAAGTTCAGAACATGGGGTATCTCACCCTAGAAAGACCCAGTTAATTAATCGTAATGTGACAAATGAGATGTTAAGATATATACAAGACTTGATCAAGACCAAATTAACCACTACGATTTGACTTCTAAAACAGATTATGTATTCCAAATTAATTGCTCTAATTTAATCTCGTTGTACTTTGTCGTTGGTGTCAATTAGTACTTATATTGATAACCTTCTTATAATTAAACAAAAAAAAAAAGAAGAATTTTGTGGCCAGGATATGACTTAAGCACATGATATCGGCAAGCTACGTCGTCGTTTCGTCACCCATCACTGCATTTTCCAAGAAATTAATGAATATGCAGACTGCAGTTCATAAGTCACAAGACTAACACGACTTACATTCATTCAGAAAAGAAAAATGTGATGGACACATAAATTGAAGGTGTTAGGTATATATATATATATATATAACATTTAATTTACAATATTCGACGCAAACGACTTATTAATTAAATAATCAAAAGTCAAGTTGGACAGCCTATCACGGACCTGATTTCCATGTTTTTCCATGGAGGTCTCTATCTTTTTTATTTTTATTTTATTTTTAACGATGAAATCGAAATCCAGCCATATAGGTGGCATCCGATAAACTTAGGGTATCGTATAATAGTTTTGCAAATTATATGAAAAATGTAAATTACACTAGCTTATAATAAACCATGTATCACAAGCTTGAACTATCATGCACGCGACATTTGTTTATGGTACTTTTTAAAGACAAAAATTACCCTGAGGGGGACTTTACACGTAATATTTATTTTTCTTAAATAACTTTTTCACAACTTTTTAGTATTACTATACCTCCCCTAAGGGTAATTTTTGTATTTAAAAAGTAAGATAAAAGAAATGTCATGTCATCAAGGGTAGAATCCACAATTTTTGGGATATTACGTGGAATAAAAAAGATTCCGTAAAAAATCACACTATAAGGGGGTCGTGTAAGACATAAACAAACATCTGGGGGATTTTGGTAATTACCGAC